GGAAGCAGTTGGGGCCTAATTTAAGGTACTATCCTGGCACCTGCCTGGAGGGACTGAGGAAAACCATAAAACACCTCGGTCACGACAGTGTGTCTAGCCGAAATCCGAACCTTGGTCCACCAAAATATAAAACAGTAGTGCAAGCATGAAAATATGTATCAACCCTTTGTGTCAACTATATTACATTGCTGTCGAGGGTTTAATTATAAAATGTTTCAGGGCAAATGAGGATAGAGGGAAACCACGCAAAATTATTGGCTTTTAACATATTTTGAAAACTTAATTTTTTTTCAAGAAAAGTTGCATTCTACAATAACAGTGGCAGATATTATCTGTAAAAGAAGTTATTTTCAGTGTTAGAATTCTAGAATTTTTGTGAGAAATTCTTAGCAGTGGGTTGCAATAACCCTTGCTATTTTGTGTTGAAAAATCTGAAGGGAAGGGAGGAGGCCTGGGTATGTGATGAGAAAGGGGCATGTGAGTTGGATTCTTGTGGCCCAGGACAGTCCAGTGACAAGTTCTTTTGAATGTGGTGTTGTACCTACAGGTTCCGTGAAAGGTGGGGGATTTCTTGATGAGCTATGTGACTGTCAGTTTCTCAAGAATGATTCTGCTCTATGAGTGAGTTTGTCCATTGAAAAATGTAATGAGAGGGATCTACTGTACAGTTTTAACAGTATTAGGTTGCCCATTCTTGAAGGCACTGATTGCTACAGAATTACTAAACCTGAATAATTCTGTGGTACTGGGCCTTTTTTGAACAGGTGGTAATCATTCAGATATTCAAAAAATTACATGCTTCTATTGAATTCAGAGGTTCATCGCCATGTTCACAAAATTAACAGTTGGAACGTATGCTGAGTCAGTTGAATCCCTTCCACACCTTCCTGTAAGGTCTGTATTAATATTATTCTATCATTTACATCTTTTTCAAAGTAGTCATGTTATTCAACGCCATAATCATTGGTGATTAACTGTATGTTGGGTTGTGTTTTCCAGACGCAAAACCAAAGCAGTAACAACATGGATGCAAATATAATCCAGCAGCTGCAACATTTGCAGCAGCTCCTTATGAAACAGCAGGACTCGTCGGCTAGACAGGAAGCGGACCAAGTCAAGTTCGACAAGAAACTCTTGGACTTCGACTATGGGTCGGATGACGACGATGAAAATGCAGCTCCATCTCCGCAGCCACAACAGTCCACTGGCTTAGAGAGGTACAAAACATGAAGTTGTGTGTGTAATAACGTCATCAATCCCAGAACAATCCAGATGCGGTTTGTGGGGAATAAAATGGCAGTGAGGCAGATTTTTTCCTGAGTAATTTAGTTTTCTCTTGGCAGTCATCATTTCACCAGTAATTTGTTTTTATTTGGCGGTGGGGGGGAAGGGGCATTTTGACATGGCACTGTACCCAGAGGACTTGTGCAAATATGAACTGTTATGGAAACCTGAAGGCTATTGTAACTTCATATTTTTGTTGGCTGTTTAGTGTACATGAATTTTGAAGTGTGCATGTTTGTGCAGCATATTATCAAATCCTGAGGTGATGCGGCAGCTGCAGAATCTGCAGCAGCAAATGAGTCAGCAGCAGATGAAACAGCAGCAGCATGAAATGGAAGAAAAACTGAGAAAACTACAAGAGATGAAGCAGCAGGAAGAAGAGTTTGATAAACACCTGGCTCAAACTCTCCCTGTGAGTGCCTTGACTGTGTATAATATTTTTCTGGGGTCTGAGAAATGTGATACTGTAAGACTGCATGCTCACATCATAAAGAAGAAACTGTCTCGTAGAACATACAGCCTAATTTTGCGGCTTGTAACTGTTGTTTGCATTTTGTCCACATCATTATTGGGCCGTAGTTCTAAAGTAATGGTTTAGAATGTAAGTAATTTTAATGTAGTTGAAGACGGAGGCAACGAAGGGTTTATAAGTTTGGGGTTGAGTTTGTAGGCCGTTGTTACTCAAGTGTTAGATTAGTTAAATATCATAATTTGAAAATGGTACAGTATTTTTTTTGTTATAAGACCACTTTATTCTCTACTGGATTTTCACTGTTAAAGAATTACTCATGGCATCCCTGTTACACATTGGAGTCAGTGTAATTTGTAACGTCTATATCGAGTGTGTATGTTGTTTATATATATGAAATTCTGAGGTCTGTTGATGCATGTCAGGTTTCTATAATTCTTGTCAATGATATATATCCTTTGGTTTACCGCTAGAGCTATTGCAGATGCCATGAACTTTTATTAGTGTGTGGGATTTGAGGGTTGCACAGCGGTGAGTCTGAAGATGGCTCTCTTCTGGATTGTTGCTCCGTGTAGTCTGGTAGAAGTTTGCTGATGTTTCAGAGGTTCTTGCTGCCTCAATGATCAGGGTGATGTACTGTACTTCAGATGTCATGTGTGTAATTAGATACTGAAATTAAACAGAAGACTTGTGAGGATGGAAAGAAGTAACTTCTGCGTATTGAGAATTTGTGAGGAATTTCTGAAAAGCAATGACTCCAGTGTGGATGGAAATTTAATTCAGTTCTTTGTTATTGGCATGCTGTATCAGCAGCCAGAAGAAATAAAAGTGGCATTAATGTCTTAATGACTTAGTAGTTAATAGTGACATAATATGGGTCAACTAGTACACATTTTTTATGTGTCAAAATAATAACTGAAATATGTGTTATCTATTTTCTTTTTAGAATCTTCCCTTTGCATCTGAATGTGAATTAAAACCCATTGAAATCAAACCGCCACAACCTCAAATCATGCGATACGACCAGCATGATTTTGACCAGCATAAGCCAGCATACACTTTCCCTGTCATGGACATGTCGCAACCCCCTCCAGGATACCCGCCAACTCTTCCAGTTGACCATTCAGCTGGGGGACATACTTCAGTACAGAAAGATGCTCTACATGAGGATGGAGAGCAGGCAGATTCTGAGGTGGAATTCGTGGAAAGAACAGGGTAAGCAGTGTGGATAGGATACAAGTTCAATTGAGAGTCTCTGCTTACTTGTTAATTTTAAATTACTGCTTATTCAGCTGTCATGGATTAGTTTCACTGGCCAGTTCGAATTTAGAACTAATTCTGAAACATTTTGTAGTACTCTTTGGATGGAGGATCACCCATTTGCAAGGGTCTGTTCGCACAAAAATGCAGATGTGTAAGTTTTTTGTAGGTTTCCATCCTACACTTGTACTGTTGAAGCAGTCCAAGAATGTATGTACCTTACACCACGTTACCACTGTGACTGGCTGTTGCTGATTTCATTTATTGAATGTATAAAATTTAGAGAAATAGGCTGTGAAACTGTGAACTGAATTGGACTAGCTGAATACAGGATTATGTGACAGGCTTGTGAAGACAGTGATAAACCTTTGGAATTTTTTGGTAAGTATCTACTGCTAAAGCAAGATTCTGCAATGTAGAATTATCTTTATGTACTGAAATGGTCAACACTTACTTTAATATGGTGCCTTCTACAGCATACATTGCAGAATTTGATTTTATTAAGTTCCAGGGTTGAGTGTTCCTTCCACAGAAATATTTTAATATAATACAGGGAATATGTGTGATTTTTTTATGATTTTCTTTGTATTTCTGACAGACCTGATACAAACTGTATAGAAATTATCAACTTAGATCGAAGTCGTTCAAGAAGTCCATCATTGAGCAACTCTAAAATGTACCGGCGACGGCGAAGTCGGTCAAGGTCTCGTGATCGAAGACGTGGAAGAAGGTCACGATCAAGATCTGCTTCTGATGGGGGAAGGTCACGGTCCCGATCTCGGCGGAGAAGGTGAGTTATATGTCAGATCAGAAATAGGTTGTATATACGAGGAAGGGGTTATAAACATCAGTGGGATATTGTAGCAAGAAATTAGCCACTGGTTTGTGGTTTGCCAAAAATGGTTTCATGAAATGTTTTGATGTCTATTGTTCCAGTCTCTATACCTTCCCATGACATGCCGTATCATGTCAGCAGTATATTTCTGCAATCTCCTACCATGGTTTGCATCCCGTTCTTGAAGAATAAGACTTTATTCTTCAAACAATGCGTATATTTTGTGTCCAGACGAGACCATGAACAGAAAATTTCTCCCATAATCAAGTACGCGGGTATTTTCATGAGATTATTCCATACAAAGATTGATGTAAAAGTGTAGTTATAAGAATCTGGCTTAATTTACAGAACAAGATCTCGAGAACGAGACCGGGAGAGAGAGAAGGAACGAGAGAGGGA